GTACTACCTCAACTACTTCCCATCCCACAATTTAATTAGATCCTAATCATGCAATGTTTGAGGATTGATCTAATGCAATAAAACTGGGTATGAAAGGGGATATGATCAAAGTGTGAACTTGCCTGCAATGTTGATGAAGATGATTCGCACTCAAAAATCTTGATAGCTCTACTCGTCACACTCCGGTCAATCTATCGTAATCAAGCAATAGTAACCACACATAAGCAATCACTCAAAAGACCAGAAAGATCGAAGAAGTCGATTTGGAAAACATCAAAACCAAGCAAATAGCTCTTGCAATATAAAACAATTTCTAACAGTACCAAAATTATGTGAATTTGGCCTTATCAGGAAGTTTAGGTCAAGAGCTTCGAAAAGCAAAAAGAATCAACTAAAACGGAGTTATAAAACTCAAGTTACGATCGAATGAAGTTTGAATTCAAATATGGTCTAATTCAAATTTTAAAATTTTCAAAAACATGTTTAAGTTGTTTTACTGGATAGAGGGGATCATAACGAAGAAGTGGGCGTTGGTTTCGTTGGATTTGGACAAACGAGCGAAAAGTTATGACCGTTTGAAGAACAGGGACTAATCTGTAAAGAAAATCATCACTGATAGGTCCCTGGCCGGAATTAAAAGAAAAAGAAAAAGACTAAATAATGAACGTTCGCTACAGAAACCTATTAGGTGAAAAACGTTCGCTACTGAGGCCTAACCAACGAACGCTCGCGAATTAGAGGTTAACGGTTCAAAAAAACAAATGGATCTAATCGGGGCCATCTAAAATGAATCGGACGGCCGAGGGGGCTTCGGGGTGTACCGCGGTGGTGGAGGTCACCGGCGACGACGAAGAATATGGCAGCGACGTCGGGGTCGTCGGGGTGGCTGCTCCGGCGGTCCTCCGGCGTGTCCGCGGAGTCGGGGAGAAGCGGCACGCAGGGATGAAGCCGATGGTGGTGGCGGCACTCGTCTTCGGCGTCGGAACGGTGCGGGGCTTGGCGGCGGAGCTCGTCGCATCTCGCGAACTCCGGTGAGTTCGCGTGGAGCGTGGGGAGGGTCTCGGGCCTTCCGGTTAGAGGCAAAACGAGGCCGGGGCCTGGCTATATATAGGAGGGGTGAGGGCGATGCGTGGGTGAGGGGGCAAGGCAGGGGCGGAGTTCGAGTCGGAGACGGCGATGGCCGGCGACGCGTGGGGAAGACGGACTCCTGGCGTGAGGTCGAGGACGGACCCGACAGGTGGGTCCCACCTATCGGTGGTTGACGAGGCAGCGTGCGATCGGGGCTGCGAGCGGGCGAGCGAGCCGTAGGCGGTGCGGGGCGCGTGCGCTCGGGTGCTGGGCTGGGCCGTGGCCTGGCGACTAGCTGGGCCGGGCCAGTTCGGCGACGGAGGGTTTAAAAAAAACATTTCCAGACAAATAAAATAATAAAAGTAAAATAAATAAAAATATTATAGGCATATAATATATCAAAATTTTCAGAAAAAGATTTTCTATGACATGAACATTTTTATAGCACTAAATAAAATACAGACAAAATCAGATAATTCAAAGAGTGCTACTGGTCTAATAGAATCCAACAAAAATCATTTTAAAAAATACCAAAATGAATTCAATTTTATTTCTCTCCAATTTTCTATTGTAGGGAATCATGTTACCCTATTTTCCATGTATTTTGTTTTTGGAGAAAAATAATTTGAATAAAACTCAAATAACCCAAATTGAAAAATAATTCCAAAAGACTTTGAATTTGATCCTTTGAAACTCCCAACTCATATTTCATATAATTTGAAGAAGTCATTTTATCTCCTCTCGTGAAAATCATTGAGTTGCATAAAGTTTCAGAATTGGAAATATTTTCCAAATGAAATTCAAATATTTTCAACACCCCTTCTCATTTAAATAATGGAAGAGGTCATGTCATCTTCTCTCCAGGATTTCGTGATGAAAAAGTATTTGAATTCATGGAAAGCATAAATGCAAAAATGAAAGTTTGGGAAAGTCCTTTTATTCCCTCTTATTTAACTTTCAAAAAGGTTTCGAATTTCACTCAATTTCACACAATCAATGAAACAATCAATCAAATCTATCTATTTAATATAACATTCCAAAATTTAGAATTTTGGGATGTTACAGAAAGTGACTAAATGAAATTCCCGTGTACCCTCAAGAACGCTTTGCTTATCATAAGAGGCCGTTTTGGCATGTCCTTTGCCAAAAAAGGATTGGGCTACCTTGATGCATACTATTTGCCATTACCGTTACTTGCTTGTTACAAATTATCTTGCTATCAAACTACTCATTACTAATAATTTCAGTTCTTGCAGAGAATACCTTGCTGAAAACCACTTGTCATTTCCTTCTGCTCCTCGTTGGGTTCGACACTCTTACTTATCGAAAGGACCATGATTGATCCCCTATAGTTGTGGGTCATCAGGGAGGAGGGCGACAGTGAATTTGGTGTGGTGGGGTGCCATGGAGGAGGGGCTGAGCTTTCATGGCTAGGGATCGAGCTTGCCCCCAACCTATAAAAGGACAATGATCGAGCTCGCCCCCAACCTATAAAAGGACGAGGATCGAGCTCGCCCCTCCCCCCCACACACACATCATTCTTCTTCCTCTCTCCTTCATCGTCCCGTATCCTTCAAGCCCCCAAGCCTTCCAGCCCATGAGCCCCTTCCTGCCGTCGCTGTGACCCCCTTTTCTTCTTCCACCATGGCGCATGAGGTCAGCCGCTATGACTGGGAGAAAACGTACGCCATCCTCGCCGCCAGGGACGCCGAGATCCATGAACTTCGGGGGGTTCTCAGCAGCATTGCTCTCCGTCTAGAGAGCGAGACCGCAGAGCTGTGTGGCTGGCTAGAGATGGAGTGGCTCAACCGCCGGGAGGCGGAGCAACTCTTCACCAATCTCCATGCTGACGACTATGGGAGCGTGGCGTCGCTGCGCAACGTGTACCTGTGGCTGAACGAAGACATGGACGTCCTCGGTCTTCAGTGGTTCGTCCCCTACGGTGCCTCCAATCAAGGGAAGTTGAACCATCTGGTGTTCTTCTCCCAACGTTTGGCGGCGCGGTTCAGGGAGTTTTGCAAGGAGGCGCAGGAGGCAGAGGTGGATCGGGCGGCGCGGGCGGTGGCACTTCGTGTCCTTGCCAGTGTCCACCACATTTCTCCCCACTTCCCGGTGGAAGTCATACCAGAGGAGCTCGATATGGACGACCAGCACAGGGCGGAGCGCGTGGTGGGTGATGTCGCGGAGGTGTTGTTTCAGTAGGAGAAGGAGAACGACTTTGGGGAAGCCTGAGTTCCCCTCCTGCTCCGGCTTCGTCGTCTTCGGCTTCGTTGTCATCCTTTTCTTTTTATTTTCTTTTTATCTAGTAGTAGGCCGCCCCCTATTTCCTATGACGGGGGGCAGAAAAAGAAGATAGGCAAAGGGTGCCGTTAATCTGGTGGAACGGTGTGGCCAGATGTAAGCACCGGTCCACCCTTTAAATTATGAACAAATATTCTTCAAGTAGTACTTGCATTCCCTAAAGTGCCATTTATTTTTCGGATGATTTCTAGTTCTTGTACCTATGCCTTGTTTCGATCAGACTGTAGTCCATTTTGTAGTGCCTCAACCATAGTGCATTAGGATCTCTGCCTAAACCACGACCACCGAAATCACTTCTTCTAGAGTACACATGCATCTTTAGAACTATCACAACTTATATGAGCTTTCGCGGATATCTGAGCAATGTGTTCGTTATTGCAATCAGAAGTCCTAAGAAATGCTTGTTCACGAACAAGGGAAATTTACAGGAAAAGGTTTGAAAAAACAGGTCGAACAAAATCGTAAAACCGAGATGCCATACTTATCTCTGTTTATTTGGTTCATACTCAGATGGATATGCAAGGTTGGCCTTCTGCTTCCCGGGGTCTGTCTGTGATGTAGTATTTCACTGCCTCAAAGTTTTAAACAAAAATGCAGGAAAACTTTTGGTTGTGTTGTGTGTCCACAACACATCCGTTAGTTGTGAGCATAATTCATACAACATGCAGCATGATGCAGGTCATGAACATAGCTACCCAATGCAGATCATAATCATGACTACAACTTAGCATGGTAATTCACATGACATTGCAAGATGCTTGAGTCTAGTTATTTGCTTTGTAGATAAGTTGTTGCCGGCTGGAGCGGATCCAACCAACGGGAACGGATCCTGTTGGCGCCCTAAGGCCAGTGTAGAACTTGCGAAGATGGTACTTCTGTAGGTTTTCAATGTTTCATGAATTTTGCACAGAGTTTCCATCTTCTATTTCTAGCCAGACAAGACCCCGTCTAGTAACTTAAACCACCCTAAAAGGTGATCGATCACTGTCCATGAACGTGACCAGATACGTCTGACGTACAGGGGAATGGATTAGCTACGTCCAGTCGTAGATGCTGGGCGATTCATACCCAAGTTGGCCAAATGGGCCGGGCCAACCAGACCGACCCGCGAGCACGCCGGCACGGCCCGCCATGGGTCAAGCACGACACGAGCTAAACGGGTCGTACCCAGCACGTGGCACGCCCCTAGGTCATGCTTGAGCTGCTAGGCTGAGCACGCGGGCCGCACGGCATGGCCCGATTATCTTTTTTATATATATCTCTATATGGCATAATACTAGCCAATTAGGTCAAAATAGGCCCATAAAACGCTCAAGAGGCCGAACAGCAGATGATGGCCAGCAGGCCGGCCTGATTAGCGGCTGGGCTGTGCCTAGGCTACAGGTTGCAGCACGCGGGCCAGCATGGCACGGCCTGTATAATAATCGTGCTCCGACGGGCCGTGCCGTGCTAGGCACGATTACAATGGGCCGGGTCGTTCCGTGCCGGGCCGGCCCGTTTGGCCATACATTCCATTCCAGCGACGCCCACCTTGTCCTGCTCCCTATCCCTCAAGAAAAAAAAAAAACCTTATCCTGCTCCCCTTCCTGGCCACTCCATTCGAACCCTCCCCGCTCACGGAGCTGCCACCAATGGCGCTCCCTCCTCCCTTGCTCCCGCGCTCTTCCTGTATTTGCAGAGGCGTCACCAAAGTCACCCCATACAAATCCGTGGAAAATATACCGGATGCCTCCACCGCCCCCTCCGCCACAGCGCAGCACTCGCTGCTTCGCGCCCATACTCGCGCCGGCCGAATGCAGCCCGCGCGGCAGGTGTTCGAGGCAATGCCGCCGCGGGACAGGTCCCTCGTCGCTTGGACTGCTATCATGTCCGGGTACGCCACCCACGGCCCCGCCTCCGAGGCGCTGGTCCTGCTCCTGCGCATGATGGAGCGGTCACTGAGGCCGGACGGGTTCGTCTTCTCAGTCGTGCTGCGCGCCTGCGCGGCAGTCGGGAACCTCAGATTTGGAAGGCAGGTCCACTGCGCCGCTGCGAAGATGGGCTACGTAGATTCTGACCTCTTTGTGGCAAACGGCCTCCTTACCATGTACGCGAGCTGCCAGTCGCTGGGTTGCGCTGAGAAGGTGTTCGATGGCATTGCCGCACCTGATTTGGTCTCTTGGACCTCCATGCTCAGCGGCTACACTGAGAATGGCTGCCATACCGAGGCGCTAATGTTGTTCGTGGAAATGATCCATGCCAGTATTGGCTGTGACGCGTTCACTCTGTCAGTTGCACTCAGGGCAGCTTCTAGTTTGGCCAATCGAAGTTTGGGACACCAGCTGCATTGCTGCATCATCAAGTCAGGATTCTCTAAAAGCGGGTTCTTGGAGAACTGCCTGATTGAGTTCTATGGGAAGTCCAGGGAACTACAGCTGATGCAGAAGGTGTTTGATGATATGCATGACAAGGATTTGGTTTCTTCCAATAGCATCATCCAGTGCTATGCAGATAACATGTGTGATGATCAGGCTTTGTCTCACTTCCGTGCTATGATGTTTGAATGCTCGGAATGCGATGAGTTTACATTGGGTAGCATTTTGCATGTTGTCACCAGAAGAGGAGCTTTTGGTTATGGAAGGGAAATACATGGCTACCTCATTAGAGCAGGCCTAGACTCAGATAAGCATGTTATGAGTGCTCTGATGGATATGTATGTCAATTGGGCTACTCTTCATAAGGGACAATGTATGCTACCTTTGAGAATGCTAAGATACTATTTGCTGGTCCAGGGAAAGCTGGATCACTTTATTGTGGCCACTAGTTTGAGGTTGTGCGCTTTTGATCAAGATTTAGCAACAGGAAGGATGTTACACGCCTATGTTTTGAAGTTCAACATGAATTCAGATCCCTTTGTCACTAGTTCTCTGGTCGACATGTATGCTAAATGCGGTTCTGTGGATGAATCACATGTTCTCTTTTCAAGAACCAAGGATCCAGGGACAGCCGCATGGACTGCGGTAATCTCAGGCAACTGTTTGAACGGTCAATTTGAAAGAGCAATGCATTTGTTCAGGAGGATGCAGTTGGAGCTTGTGCAACCTAACGAGTTCACTTATACCTCTGTACTTACAGCATGTGTGGCTCTTGGGGATGTTGTAGGTGGCATGGAGATCCAGGGCAACTCCATCAGAACTGGTTATGGAACCAATGCTTCTGTTGTGAAAAGTCTTATAAGCTTTTACTTAAGAGAAGGGCAGTTCAAGCAGGCCCTTAAGCTTTGCTTATCACTCTCAAACCGTGAGATTTCTTGGGAAGCACTGGTTAAAGATTTTGCTCAAGGTGGTGATCACGTTGGAGTACTTAATCTTTTGTGTGTTATCCAACGTTCTGGTGGGGTTCTTGATTATCCAACTGCATTACACATCTTGAATTCTTGTGGAAAATTGGAACTCCTTCATGAAGGGCTTCAAGCACATGCCTACCTTACAAAGCGTGGCCTTGCTTCTGAACCATGCATCAGCAATCACCTTATTGACATGTACTCCAATTGCGGCAGTCTCAAAAATGCATTGGATGCCTTCAGATATATGTCTGACAAGAGTGCATCTACTTGGACCTCAATAATCATAGCTCATCTAGAAAATGGCTGTCCAGAGACAGCCATTGACTTGTTTGTGCAGATGTTAAGAAGAGAGAAAATACCAACTTCGATTGCATTCTTATCTGTGCTGAAGGCCTGTGCAGAAATCGGCCTTGTAAGTGAAGCCTTCCAGTTCTTTGTGTCCATGACCGAGGTCTACAAAATAGAACCTTCAGAAGGTCATTACAAGCATATGATTGAGGTTTTGGGTCATTCTGGTATGTTCAAGGAAGCAGAGCATTTCATTGATAGTGTGGTCCCTTCGGAATCTAGTGCTTCAGCCTGGATTTTACTTTGTTCTGCTGCCAAACAAAATGGAAACACCAAAACCATGAAGCTTGCAATGGACAAACTCGCAAGCCTTGCTCCATGTGATTGTCGAGCAAATGCTTCACTGGGAAATGTCATCCCCATCACTGACTAGTTAATCAGGCGGCACCAGTGTAATGAGTGACAGAGTGAGTATACTTGCCCCTCCTGGTTTATCCAAAGGGAAGCATGCCTTAACTTGTCAGATTGTAGGTTGCGCGGAGTGCACAGTGGCATATGAAGTGAACATTATGAATTTAGAACTGTAAACTGCTGTATATTTGTATACTAGCTAATATGTTGTGCAGTTTCCACAAATGTAGATAATTTCCGTTGTGTTATACCCAATTTCAAAGGTATGCCGTTCTTTGCATGTTTCTGGTAAAAATATAGCGGTTGAGTGGTACCGCGGTTACCAATCACAATCTTTTTCTGCTATGCAAGTTAAAGAAATTTTTATCCTGTAATGGTTTTGTCAGTGATCAAACGGAGGGCGTGTTCGAATCATTTGAGGTTTACCAGGGTCTGTTTAGTAAACCAAGAATGTAAGATTGCCTTTTTCTAAAGGAATGCCATCATGGCTTGCTTTATTGCTCCTTAAATAGTGCTTACATCGTCAACAAGAGCAGGATCAGCATCAGCTTCTCTAGCTAGACAAGGAGCTACATAATTAGCCCCCCTGTTACAAGAGTTATATGTGACAGAACTAAAGGTGGGGGCTTGAATACAAATGTCGTCGAAGAGAGGAGCAGCCATAGAGATGAGGAAAAGCCACCCGCCTGAAGAGTTTCAACAGCGTGGAGGCAGTCGGATTGAAGGATGATGTGATCGAATCCCAGTTGGTTTGCCAATTACTCCACGTCGAATGGCAAGTGCTTCAGTAGTCGCGGCATCAACTGCAAAAGGAACATTTTCACTGCACCCGTCTCTGAATCTGCTATGCGAGCCACCACCCCAACACCACCTGGCAGGGAGTTTTTCTTTTCTAGGGAAACCTTCCAATGTACTCATTAGCCGTTGAGGCAGTACAAAGAACACAGTGCATCTAGGTCCGTAGACCACCTAGCGACGACTACAAGCATTGAAACGAGCCGAAGGCTTGCCGCTTTCATCACCCCTCCCTCACTGGAGCCGGACAAACCTTATTGTAGTAAACAGACGGAAAGTCGCCGTGCTAAGATCATAGGACCAGCACACCATAACAATCGTCGTCGATCAAGAGAATCGTAGATCAAAAAGATTCAACCTGTAGATACATGAAAGCACACAAATGAAGACCAAATACAACCAGATCCGCCAAAGACAAAAACTGATCGAATACGACGAGGTTCACTGAAAACACGCCTCCACACGCCCTCTGACGATGCTAGATGCATCACCAGGACGAGGGTTAGGTGGGGAGAACTTTATTCCGTTTTCAGAAAGCCACCACCATCTCGTCTTCCTGAGCAGAACACAAACCCTAGTCAAACTAACATGACGCCTAAAAACGGAGCATGAGCCCTCCCGTCGTCAAGGGCCGAGGTCCACTATGCCTCCATGGCCTAAGGTCACAGAAGACAAAGCAGACCGGTGACGGTGCTGACAGGAGGCAGGGAACCCTAACCGCTTCTTGTGCACCTCATGAGATGAAGGGGCACGAGACAACACAAATGTACCTAAAAGGGAGTCCTCATCAAACCTATAGCATCCATGTTGATCATAAGGAATCCCTCATGTTCTTGTAAGTCACATCTTCTTCCTATCATGTTCTCTACTATCCAACGCGCCCATCGCCTTGGGTGATATCACCTGTCCTTTCCTGAAGTGATACCATCCCTTAAGTTCTCCCATGATCTCTAATTTCAAATAGTAAATTTAAACATTTTTTTCATTTTCTAATTTTTTATGAGGGTGCACAAGGCATGTGTTTAAAATCCCTAAAAAATTTAGATCTAAATTCAAAAGGCTCATCAAGAAACATAAAAGACAAATCCAAAATGAATAGCGGTGCCAAAGCAGCAATGGCACTATTCAAATTTGGATTTGCTTTTTTAGTTTCTCAATTTGCATTCTGAATTTGGATCTGAATCTTTTAGGATTTGTACACATAGGTCTTGTGGGCATTCACACAAAAAGTGCAGATTTTGTACCAGAACTAGCGGGTACATGACCTATCCATATCGTTCATGATGCATCGAGATTTATGTGCCAATACACCAACTCCTCTCTCACTTTTCAACTGCAAAGCGGAGAAAAATGGCAAAATTGTTCCATCAAAATGTACAAGTCCGAGCCAGCGTCAGAATATCCAAAGACCAGCACTAGCGAGTAGACTTCTGTTGGGGAACGAAGTATTTCAAAAAAAATCCTACGATCATGCAAGATCTATCTAGCTGATGCATAGCAACGAGAGGAGAGAGTGTGTCCATGTACCCTCGTAGACCGAAAGCGGAAGCGTTTAGTAACGCGGTTGATGTAATCGAACATCTTCGCGATCCAACCGATCCTAGCACCGAACGTACGGCACCTCCGTGTTCAGCACACGTTCAGCTCGATGACGTCCCTCGAGCTCTTGACCCTGTTGAGGACGAGGGAGAGTTCCGTCAGCATAACGGCGTGGCGACGGTGATGATGAAGTTACCGGCATAGGGCTTCGCCTAAGCACTACGACGACATGACCGAGGTGATAAACTGTGGAGGGGGGCACCTCACACGGCTAAGAGATTGTCTGTTGTGCCTTTGGGGTGCCCCCTGCCTTCGTATATAAAGGGGGAGGAGGAGGTGGCCGACCTAAGGGGGCGCACCGTAAGGGGGGAGTCCTACTTGGACTCCTAGTCCAAGTAGGATCCCTCCTCCTTCCTTCCACCGAAGAAGGAAAAGGCGAAGGGAGAGAGAGGGAGAAGGAAAGAGGGGGGGCCGCCCCCTCCCTAGTCTAATTCGGTTTGGGCAAGTGGGTGCCCCTCTCACGTGTCATTTCTCCTCTCCTTCAATAAGGCCCAATAGGCCCAATACTTCTCCCAGGGGGTTCCAGTAACCTCCCGGTACTCCGGAAAAATGCCCGAACCACTCGGAACCATTCCGATGTCCGAATGCAACCTTCCAATATATGAATCTTTACCTCTCAACCATTTCGATACTCCTCGTCATGTCCGTGATCTCATCCGGGACTCCAAACAAACTTCGGTCATCAAATCACACAACTCATAATACAAATCGTCATCGAACATTAAGCGTGCGGACCCTATGGGTTCGAGAACTATGTAGACATGACCGAGACACATCTCCGGTCAATAACCAATAGCGGAACCTGGATGCTCATATTGGCTCCTACATATTCTATGAAGATTTTTATCGGTCAAACCCCATAACAACATACGTATTCCCTTTGTCATCGGTATGTTACTTGCCCAAGATTCGATCGTCGGTATCATCATACCTAGTTCAATCTCGTTACCGGCAAGTCTCTTTACTCGTTCCGTAATGCATCATCCCGTAACTAACGCATTAGTCACATTGCTTTCAAGGATTATAGTGATGAGCATTACCGAGAGGGCCCAGAGATACCTCCCCAATACACGGAGTGACAAATCCTAATCTCGATCGATGCCAACTCAACAAACACCATCATAGACACCTGTAGAGCATCTTTATAATCACCCAGTTACATTGTGACGTTTGATAGCACACAAGGTGTTCCTCGGTATTCAGGAGTTGCATAATCTCATAGTCAGAGGAACATGTATAAGTTATGAAGAAAGCAATAGCAATAAAACTAAACGATCATTATGCTAAGATAACAGTTGAATCTTGTCCATCACATCATTCTCTAATGATGTGATCCCGTTCATCAAATGACAACACATGTCTATGGTCAGGAAACCTAACCATCTTTGATTAACGAGATAGTCTAGTAGAGGCACACTAGGGACATACTGTTTGTCTATGTATTCACACATGTACTAAGTTTCCGGTTAATACAATTCTAGCATGAATAATAAACATTTATCATGATATAAGGAAATATAAATAACAACTTTATTATTACCCCTAGGGCACATTTCCTCCAGTCTCCCACTTGCACTAGAGTCAATAATCTAGTTCACATCGCCATGTGATTTAACACCAATAGTTCACATCACCATGTGACTTGACATCCATAGTTCACATCGCTATGTGACCAACACCCAAAGGGTTTACTAGAGTCAATAATCTAGTTCACATCACCATGTGATTAACACCCGAAGAGTGTCGGATCGTGGGTTCCGGCAAACCCTTGAGGTTCGAACACTAGGGTGCGCACGAAGATCTCTCTCTCTCTCTCTCTCTCTCTCTCTCTCTCTCTCTCTCGCTCACTCTCACGATGATCTCTAGGCCTAGCTCACCGAACCCAAGGAACAAGAGACACGGGAGTTTATACTGGTTCAGGCCACTGTTGTGGTGTAATACCCTACTCCAGTGTGGTGTGGTGGATTGCCTTGTAGGTTGAGGATGAACTAGTACAAGGGATGAACAACCTCCTGAGGAGAGGTGTTCTTTAGCTCGGTGAGCTTGTGTGTGTGAGGATGGTCTGAATGATCCGTGCCCTGCTACGATGGTGGCTAGTCCTATTTGTAGAGGCCCTGGTCCTCTTCCCAAATGTTTAGGCAGGAAGGGATCCCACAACGGCCAATTTCGAAGGGAGACAACTAGTACAAGTTATCCTGATAAAAGATGGTCTTCGCCTGCTAAAGGCTCTGGTGGTGACGCCGTCGTGGGCTCCGTGGTGACCTCCATCCTGTCGTCCTGCTGGTCTTGGTCTTGCTGCACCGATATGGAAACCTTTGCCTGATGCATCGGGACTCCTCGCCTGCGCTTGCCCCTTTAGCACCAAAGAGGAAACTGACACCCTGCGCCCGCTGGCGCCCGCCTGGCCTTGGTCGTCATGGCTCATGTCATGTGGACCTCGCGAGGTGCACCTTGCATAGATATCTCCGCTCCTCGGGAGCCAGCCTAGCGAGGCCGCCCCGGAGGAGGTCTTGGTGTCGTCCGCCTCGCGAGGCTTGGCCCCTCGCGAGGGTCTTGAGTAGTTGTTGATGAAGATGGGCCATACTAGGCCGCTGGATGAGCCACGCCCTGGGCCGCAGGCAGGCAAGT